GACAGCCTCAGCACAAAGATTTCTTTTGGAGAGTGGCCATGCACGTCGCGACGTGGCCGGAAAAAGCCATCAAATCCAGAAGACTCGGGGGGAAGACCAACCACAGAATGATTGCCATTTCAAAGATCTATTCCAACATCTTGGAATGGTTTTAAGCTGTTTTAAGGCACCACGTGAGTGGATGTGACAGGGACCATCCCAACTTCCGAACTCATCGGCCTTTCAAGGCACCCAATTCCATGGAACGACGATGATTATATGTCCTAGAAGTCCAGTTATACTACATTTCGACCGGCTGAAGTAGAGGAAGTTCCCGAAATCAGGTCCCCGTTCGTCAGACCATTGTCTTTGACTCCCAAGGACCTGTGATGATTCCCTCACAACACCTCTGAATTGGTGTCTTCTTCACGAACCTCGAGACCAAGAACACGCAGACAGAATCAGGTCGCAGTCGTGATGAACCCGTCAGATGTTCAGCCCGGCACGGCTCCCCCGTTCGCAGTCGATTGAAACGGTGACGAGACGATGGGCCGCTTCTCTCGGTGGAAGAGAGCAAACTTGGACCAGACGGACTGCCAAGTTTCCTGCAGACCGATTCGTAGACGTCGGGCACCCAGTCTTTCGTGTGACAGGAACACGGCTCGAAATGACGAAAAAACGAAGACGAGGATGGCACAGGAACACGGCTCTGACATAAGGACACTGACCCCAGGTGAAAACCAGTCTACCCATGTCTACCCAGCCAGAGGTAGGGGATCTCCCCGGACATACACACCCAAATGACTGGACGTCAACTCGTGTGACACGGACGACAGAGACACCGGACTTCCACAATCATTGTCACTTTTCTCGGTGAAAAAGCCATCCAAAATCATCCAAAATGATGGTGAAAAAGATACAATTTGTTCTTTGCTTCCAACGGAACACCCAAAATGCCAATTCGTCCTGCCACTGGTCTTCCTGGTCTTGTCTGCTCAAGCCCACTCCGCTGCATCAGAATTAGGCAAAGCAGGGGGCGTCGATAAGGGCAATGCAGTCCCTGTTGGTCCTATGGGCTCCACCTGAACATGGTAGCCAGTTGAATATACCCTCTTCCACCTGTGCTGATGGCCTTGTGAAACCAACGTCTGTCTTCCAAAATTGGATTACTGTTGCTGGGTCAGCACATTCATATAGGCATCAGTCTAAATCACTGTAGAAATAAAAAGACAGCAACAACAGCCAGGTCCACGCAGAAGTGGAATTGGTGTTCGCCTGAGCATGTGCATGTTCTATCCGCCAGAGGTGACAAATGGTCACGCCAGATGCGGATGAGATATATCCAGATCTGCCGCATCCGTCCTGAAGAGGAATCCTTGCAATCCGGGTGCCTGGATCACGCCCCTCCCTTCTCCCCTCTCCCTCTCCCTCTTCAGTCTTCGCTCGAACCCCAGCAGCACGTCATATGGCCCCCGCCCCAGACCTTCCGACGTGCGGCGCCCGCCGTCGGCCGAGGGGCACGAAAGTCGTGGATCGCAGGCTGGAAGGGCTCAGCCGATGGGACGAATTGCTGTAGGACCTGGCCGCGGAGTGCTCGGTGCGCGAGCAAGAAAAGGGCCAGGACCTGACGGTCTTTCTGGAGCTCTGGCTGGGACCGAAGGCTTTTTTGGGCAAATGCCGAACTTCGGACGTGTGACAGGGTCATCTAGAGACACGCTATAAATAGTTGACTGGACTTCCAGGAGTCAGATTTCGAGCGGATTTCAGGACGCTGTACCCACCAACTACGCTTTTGACTCCCGGCCGCGGTGGTTTTTGGTGCTCCTTTTGGGTCCCAAAAGCCAGCCACACAATGCCCCACATCGGTGAGAGTCTCCGGCTTCACATCGTCTTCCAAACCCTTAGGCCGACCCCGGCAACGAACCCCCAGCTCAAGCTGGGATAGACCGGGACCGCTGTGTAAGATCCTTAGTCAAAACATGTCAAAACCATGATGGGGAACGGGAAGATTCGGACTCTTCAATTCCATTGGCCAGCCAGGAAGCCGTCTAGCCAACCGTCCGCTTCGGGGGGGCCGACCAGCCCCCCTTCCCCGCCTTCTGTGCCACACGCACGTCAAAGAAGGTCACGAAAACCAGGCCAGTGACGGATCCTGAGCCGGTGGATCGGTGAGATCCGGTGATGACTCCCGAGATCCAGAGGATCCGCAGGACCCCTTCCCTCTTCCCCCCAACCCGAGCCGGCGGGACCCAAAGAGGTATCCAATCGGGCCACATCACCGAACCTGAGGCGGAGAGCGGGGGCTTCGGTGGAAGATCGGGGTCGCTTCGGCCCGGACCGGAGAAGAGGGGAAGAAGAGACACCACCGGTGGTGGCGGAGTGGCGGAGTGGCTGTGGAAGTTGGGGGGGGGTTTGGGGGGAACATTCCAAGACGTGGAAGGACACGAACATTCCGCGACGGTCGACGGTCACACCTTGTGAACAACGCGGTTGCTTCTTCCAAGGTCCTGACACAACTCCAAGGATTCACACATCAACCGAAAGTCCCAAAGTTCAAACAAATTCCCAAATGCTTTCCAAGGTTGGCTTGCAGACTGTAGTTTGTCTTGTGAGGCTTGTATGTTGATGGCCTTTGCCAACACTAGTGCTCATGTTTCTGCTGATCTAAGCTATCCACACCCAAAAAACCTCCGGGTCCTTGGGCATTCAGCCGGTTGAAAGTGAACTGCTACCTGAGTCGTTGTGAGGTCAATCTCTTCTTGACCAAATGCCAGACTCGTTGGGCTGTCCGAAAGCAGCCCTTCTGCGAGATCGCCAAGCGGATTCGGATTCCAAAAGTCTGGCTACCAGGCTACCAGGCTATCAGTTGAATTACATCCCAAAGTCACTTAGTGAATCTTAGTGACTTAGTCCATGTCTCGAGCTGGACTCGATGAGAAATTCGATACATCTTTGATGTTTGGCATGGGGGGGTCGGTCTGCCTGAGATTCATCTCAATCTCCGACCTTTCTTCAACCCGATACTTTCGCGGAGCAAACAGCACGTCCTCAGCTCCACACAGTGTTGGAAGCCTCGGAGAGGGCTACAGAGCTGGCCATAACTCCTCAAGTCGAAGGAGCCGAGCGGCCGAGCGGAGCGGCCCCGAGCGTGGAAGAGTGTCAAGCAGGCGTTGAAACGTCTCAAATGGGCCGTTTGAAGAGTCTCATGGCAGGCTAGTGACCAATCAAGTTCTTCTTTTTGAAAGCTTTAAAGCGAAACTTATTGATGGAAAAAATGGTGAAAAGGGGATTCAAAATCGTGAGATCCATGGTTTTGTTCTTTTTTTTGGATACAGGATCTCTTTCCTGTCAGGCCGTTGTCGGCATCCGTCGCCCTGTCGTGCAGAGTCACCGTGACCCCTCTCCTCTTGTCACAGCTTGTCGGATTGGAACACGTGTAGGTGCAACACACTCGAGCTTGATAGCTTGCAACACAAGCCTCGGCCGACCAAAAAGGCGCAGAAAAGACAAGTCTGAACTCAAAGGCGGCAGTCACCGAACTAACCTTCTCATCCCCATCCGTCCTCCAACAAGACCCCCCAAAGGAAAAGAACCAAAAAAAGAAACCTCTCTCCCCCGCGCAGCCTGCCGTTCCAAAACCCACAAGAAACACACACAAAAACCGTTGGGCTCCCTTTGTCCCGGTCTCCAAAATCACCTGCTCCACTGTCTTCGACCCTCTTGCGTCTCTTGGCGTCTCCCGTCGTCTTCCGAGTCGCTTCGGAACGGCGGGGAGTCGGAGTCTCAACGACTCGACCTGGAACGAGGGTGACCGCACAACGGGTCGCACAACGAGTCGGAAAAAGGCTTTGGGGAAAAGGGGGGAAAGATATGGGGGGGATAGGATCAGATTAGGGGTTTTAGGGGAGTTTTGATTCATCCGGTGTCAATCCTTTCATGGCCAATTTGTCACACGTGCTCCAAGTCTGAACGTTTGTCCATGAATCGAATATAAATTAATAGATATTGCAATATGTGTTCGGCTGGGTGTCCAACAAGAGTTGATTGAACTTTCGTTTGTGGCAAGGTGGAAAAACGGCGACCTGGACCTTCTGGGGGTGCCGAACACGCGGCGTCGCGTCGCGTGTGGTTCGAATCACAACCTCGACTTTGAGACCTTCGACCCCACGCAGAACAGGCACAAACCCAACGCAGAAAACGCGCAGAAAGTGTCCAACGGGTTCTTCCAAAAGCGAATTCCGGTGAAACCGATCTTACCAATGGTTCGGAGAAGAAGAATAATAACCAACCCGGAAACACGGTCGCCTGCGTCACCGGGTGTTCGGATGTGTTTCACCACAACTCAACTCCCCGAGCCTGCGAACTCCAAGAAACTGACCAGAGGTCTGACGAACGACCGTTTTTGGGAGCCAGAATGCCCACGGCGCGGCGCGGCACTTCGGCGGCACTGAAGGAGAGGGATCGATCGAGAGGTGGCGTCGAGAATGGCGGCTTCAGCTCCGGCAGCCATGAAGCCCTCTTGGCGTTACATGAGTTCGGATTCTCAGTCTGAAAAGCACCAAAAGGGCTCTAGAGGATGTTCTTTTGCTGGAGGACACAAACCCTCCTGTCTCCGTCGTGAAGGCACCCTTTGAGGATGACTGCAGCCTCACCAGCCACATGAAATTTTGCAACAATGCCAGGCCTCACCAGCTTGAAAAAGAATTGAGCTAGCTTTGCACTTCCACAAGATTAATGTGAAGACTATTTTCAGGTGGAATCCTCAGTTTGCCACTTTTGCTTTTGGTGAAAACAGCAACCTAACTCAATAATTGCTGACAACATGCCCGTTGCTGTTGTTTTGGCATTCGTCCGGGACAAACGGACCGACCCTGCTCACGAAAACGGACGCCACAACAAACACATAAAACACGCCTGCGACCATTTCTCTTGTTTGTTGGCCAGGGCCAGCCGCTTTTTCTACCAATACACTGCTACCAAAAACCACGTCTTTGAGGAAAGAATGGACAATGCGGCGACCATTTTCACGCAAGCAAAACTATTATACATCTGTAGATTTTTTCCCTGAATCAGACCGGCAGCCTCTTGTGGAAGATGGCCTCAGCATGCCTCAACTAGGAACCAACGGCCCAAAGTCCGCAAAGTCTTGCTTGTGAAGATCAGCACATGGAGTAACAACCCAAAAAGAGGGGCAGCTCTGTACAGTTCTGCAGCTAGAAAAAGAAACAACTAGGTTTTTCAGGAAGCGCCGCATGATCGGTCGGCGCCTCGATTACTCGAAAAAACGCGGAGAAAACTCCTGCGTGTCTAGTTCTCAATAAATCGTACAATGAATTCAGGATAAGCCTGGGCAGGGTCAAAGGTCACCACCTCCAGATGGCCCTGCAGCCCAGCACGACCCGGTAGGCCATTTGGAATGCCAGGCATCGCAATGATGGAATCAGCACGCACTGCATACTTTTCTGGGGGACCTGTTCAGCAAATCACCGGGCACGACGGAAGAACATCTGCCCCAAGAGGACCAGCATTAGCCGATTACCTCAACTAAATCGGGGTCTTGCCAATCCCAAAGCCACAAGCTGCCCTACGAACTAGCACCCCCCAAAAAAAGGTAAAGGGGGAACAATAGGATGTTGGACAGGATCCTTTGAGTACGTACTCCTACTACAGTACAGAAAATGTCCGTCAAGCAACGCGTGCGTTCGTGACATGGACCTTCTGCATAAAAAGGATGGCCGATGGCCACGCGAGCAAAGAGCATGGTCCCCATCATCTCGCTCGATGCTTTGTAGTGCGTGCCACCGTTGGTGGCATACTGCGCGCTCTTGCAGGTTTGGGCCGCAAAGTAGGTGCCTTGTCCATAAAGTCCCGGTCGTTCTCGAACGCGGTTGTCAAACCCTTCGAGCGCAATTTTCATGGCCGTCTCCAAGTCTCGTGTCCCGTGCAGCAAGAGCCGTTCGTTCCCAGCTTGGTCCACTTGGAGTTCGTGAGCAAACTCCGTTAAGGCGTCACCTACTGCTGGACAGGCTTCTGGGGAGATGCCAAGCTGATGGTGCTTTTCTCGGATGGATTGAAGAAAGCGTTGATATCGTCGCCACACATGAAGGTTCTTGACCTGAAAAGCCTCCAGCACCTGAAAGCTTGAACTTCCGTGACTACACCAACAGGATGCACCATCATGCCGAGAACGTGATCGGTTCAACACCCCTTGTAATCTGAAGAGGATCAGTGGATCCCGCACTGGCCGCACCGTTCGCGCAACGAAGTTGGCACCTGCGGGAGTGAGAAACTGGAAGGCTTCTTCGATGGTCAGCTTCCAATGGATGGGCACATCGAAAAAACAACGGATCCACCGAGTTTTTCCAGTGCGTTGGTTAATCTGCCAGCCCTCCCGGAAATTGATGGCGTACACCTTTCCATGGACGCTGACCTCGCAGTGCCAAAGACCTTGTCGAAACTTGCCCATGAGTTCCTGGTTCGCACGCTCCTCAGATCAATCACCAAAGCCCCAGGACAGATCTGGCAACCCACCTTTGCGGGGAACGACCTGAAGATGCTAATGGCGACTCTTTGATGAACAAACCTTCCATAAGACTGAAAAAAGACTTGTCAATTCAATCGGGGGGTGGGTTTATTCATCAAGAGTCTTCGTCAAACTAAACCCTAGACTTCCAAGACAATTTTAAAAAATGGTTGACCGGGTTTTTGCAATGACAATTCCTTAGTTGATTCGGGATTCAGCCTATTAGAATGGTTGGCCAGGAAGCCAAGGGTAAACACATGAACCAATGAGATCGAGAGACTGGAAATGGCACCCACTCGCCACTGTCGCCTTGAAACTGCCACCGTTCCTCATCCCTCTGCGCGGGCCGACCAGAAGCCAACTCCCTCGTCGCGAGGCGCGCAGTGAGATCCTCCTTGATCTGAACCAAGTCACCACTGTCACCCACCCTCTGCAGTTCTTCCTCCAAGTGGTCAACCCAAGCCTGCCAGGTCTGCGCCAGCCTCGACAGCTTCTCGTTCTCCTCCCACGTTGAGACAAGATAGCAGGCAGGTTGTAAGTACGACACCTATAGAAAGCACAACGGGAGCGACATGAACTCAATCGCACCGTGTTGAAGCGATCCAGGCACGAAAAGCTCGTGTGGTCCCACCCACCCAAGAACCTCCAACCGTTCCCTCCGCGTGGAACGAACCCCAAGAGCCCCCCCCTTAGTACCCACGATCAAACGGCGTGATGCTCCGCTCTAAGACCGTTGAAGACCGCGCTCTTGCGTTAATGGTGTCTTTTTTCATGGCTGCTCTTGGTGGCAAACCGCTTGGGTATTACGATTTTATCTCTTCACACAAAGGGCGGTCGAAGTGTCTATGGATCTTTTTGAGCACCTGCAAAAAATTGCTTATGAATTCCGTGGTTTTTTGCAAACCCTTCATGAAACATGCGCCACAAAATGGCTCAAAATTGCTCCTTAAAACCTGTAGTGGCCCAACATCGGTTGTCACAAAATAGTAGGCTGCCAGCAAACTGTTTGCGGGGGCTATTGCTCATACCCAGCCCCTTGAAAGGTATGAGCCATGGGAAACTCAGCTCTGCTCATTCGTCCTCGCGCAGGCGCACCACGTCTTCCTCGTTCTCCTTCAAACGTTGAACCTCGGCACACGGAGAGATCGCGCGGATGGGAGGCTTGGTGCAGCCAGGTTGGGCAGCACCACCCAGTGAGGTGGCCCAAACAGGGCCAAGCACGGCGAAAACGGGGTTTCACATGGTGTACATGGTGCCAAGCAGCTGCCCTCTGCAACTGGTTCTGCGGATCAGCGCCGCCATTCAGAACGGCCATCAAGCTGTCAATGTGGGCCTGCATGTCCTGCAGTTTCCTTTCCAAGTCATCAACTCGACTCTGCTTCTCTAGTAGCCTTCCCTCCAAACGGTTGATCTTGGTCTTCTCCAGCAGCTTCCCCTCGTCCTTTCTGGAAGAAGTGGGACATCCCCAAAAGCAATGGTTCCACGGAGAATTGGAAAAGGCCTGATCACCCTAAGTATAGATGATATGAACCACAAACACATTTAAAAAATGTAGTTCAAGAAACAGTGCCATTGCCAAAAATGAAATTCCCCAAAGTGGCCCAGTTCTTCGCCTCACAAAAAAAAACACAAAAATAATTGCAGGGTGACTTCCATGTGGACGTCTCTGCATGGGGGTCCTCAAGTGACTTCTGCACGTCGAGCCCTTGTTCGAAACCTCGCAGTTTTTCAAAGGCACTGACAAAGGGTTCACACTTCACACATTGGCTTTTTGCGTGGTATTTGAAGGTTGGTAAGAAAAGCTGTGGAGAATGAAGCATCTGTGATATGTCCACTGATGGCTTGAAAACTGATCGGTGACGGTATTGGCTGCCAAAATGGTTTCCACCCAGCGCGCAAAACGCAATAGCTACCACATGGAGGTGTTTGCATGGACCTTGTGAGATGTATGTCCTTTCTGTTTCGCCAATTAGACCTCTGCATGAAAGGAACGCTGCACTCTCTTCAATGAACGGGTTTTTTCCAAGCTCTGCGGACCACCGAGATTTGCGTCCTCCCTGGGCCACCACACGGGCATCCTCAGCACGATGGGTCAAGTACACTGAAAGCCACTGCATGACACGACCAGTGACCAGGGCGAGCCAAAAACCGAGGGCCTTACGTCCTCACTGTCACTGGACCTCACGGGCCACGGCGGATGCACGTGGCTGGCTGTGTTTGTCATCAGCTCAGCGAGCTGTTATATAAACGTTTTGATAAACGCATCCATCCCATGAAAGCTTCATAACTTCATGTGACACTCATGGAGAAACCTCCCCTCCCAGAATCACCCAAAAGAAGACATGTCAAGCATGATCATAGCGTGACCACACGAGAACCTCCTCAGTGTGTGGCTCTGCTTCGCTGCGAAAGCGCTCGGTCTTCTCAGGCGTCGTCGTGGCCGAGGACCCGCGACTTTTCACCTGGCAAAAAGCATCGCCCGAAGACTGCGACACCGGCTCCGCTGCTAACCAAGCGCACATCCCACAGTTGTTAGACTCAGAACTCGTTTCAACGAGAAAAGGAAGGCTGCAAGGTCCTCCCAGTTCCGCGTTCCGTGCGCCTTCGTCGCTCCCAGCTCCGAACCTCAGAACCGGGCGGCCAAAAATTCAACGCCTCCGTCGCGTCCCGATGCCTCCGGACGACGGCGGCGGCGCTCTCGCCCGACGCGGGACGCGGCACGCCTCCTTCGCGGTGGGGGTCGAAGTTCTTCAGCAGCGTCACGAGGTACGCTGGCCTTGGCAGAAGGACGCAGGCTCCCCCCGCTTTGCGGTCGCGCCAAGGACGCACGCCAACAGCGCGCCGCAAAGCGCGGTCGCCAGCAGTGCACCGCACATGGATGGCCAATTCTTAAGGTCGTTTCTTTCAGCTCAATTACATGGACCACAAGGGTTTCTTCGCGTTCGGAGTTTCATGCTCAGCCAGCGCGCCAATTCTTCACGTCCTTCGAAACATTGCGGCCCATGGAAATTCACCGTGCTGTTCAACCCCAAATAGCAAAGCATCCACCAAGATCTGCTCCACAAAGCACGAAGATGAGCTCCGAAACGGCCCCCCGTCTCGACCCTCGTTGATCGGTTTTCGGGTAGTTTTTTCCCTCATGGAAAGCGTTGATGGGGACGAACGGCCACCAGTCAGACCAGTTCTCATTGCTTTTCGTGGAGGAAGGCGTGGACCAGAAACCAACTGCTGTTCTGCTGTTTCCTAGCAGTACCCTTTCTTGGGGCTGAAGCGCTGAGAGGAATGGACGTGGACCAAGAGTTCGACAGTGAAAATCTCTTCTGTCGAAACTCTAAAAAGTTGGTGAGAGGACTAGAACCCAACTAAAAGCACGAAAAGCGCCAAATGACTCAATGATCTCTCAAAGTCATCTCTGTCAATATAGTCACTTGCAATGCGGTCAATCAATCGTCCCAAATGCCGAGAAGTTGGACACGTAAAGATGAAAGGCTCAAATCGCCCGTTGTTTGCTTCGAAGCCGTTCGTACAACGAATGATTGCGTTCGTTCGCACAACTTCAAGAAAAATGGATGTAAATCTCTCTGAACCAGACTGTCTATAGTTTGCCCAGCAGCAAACGCCGCTTCACCCCCTCCCGCGGCTCCTGTCTGGTCCTGTGCATGGTGCGCCTGGCATCAAAAGAGAACAAAAACAAAAAACACAAGGCCCCCGCCTCGCCCCCGGCGGTCCGACGCGATCAAGGTCAAAGCACGTCACATGTCAGGGCCACGCGTGAACCATGGTCAGGGCAGCTTTTAACCGCTGCCTGGCCAATGGAGCCGTGGTGGAAAATTGGTGGGAAAACAACATGTCCCGCAAAGGAGGTTGGCCAGATCTTGCTCCGTTTTTGAGCCAGCTGAGAAAGTCTATGCTATGCTTGAAAACCCACATTGCAACATGGTTCATCCCTCTGATACTCAAAAGTGGTGGCAAAATGCCTAAACGTCGTCCCTACTCTTCCAGATATCCCACAGCGATCAAAAGAAATTACTGTACTTCGAGTAATCCCCACCATGACATTTCAATCATTTGTTTTCATGCCATGGTCCATGGTGAGGAGTCTTGTTGGTTGTGTATTGAAATTGTGTGTTGCGTGCTTGTGTGTGTGTGTGCTTGTTTGGGGTCTGTCGAGGAGCGGAGGAGGAGAAGGAGAAGGAGCTGTCAGACACCACGCTTAAAATTTGAAGAACCCTCACCTGACAGCCTGACAGGCAGGGAAAAACAGCAAGTCTGCCCTCCCTGCCTTCCACCCGTTCCAAACAAAGCATGCAAATGCCTTGGCCAGACTTTTAGGGGGGATCGGATTTGCTAACACAGCACAGATCTCAAGTAGGCAGATG